GCATATGCTACACATATAGAGCTTTCTTGTGAATATGTCATTTGAATGAGCGTCTGGCAATTATTCGAGTAGGTAGATTTGCGCAGAGCTTACTCTTGAGATAAACATACAAACCGGATTCGTCTTACAACAAGATTCAAATTCTAGCAAAGTCAAGCTCTCTCGGCGAACGTCTTAATAAGTAACTCGGATATTTTGCTCGTCAACTGGCTATACTCGGATTTTCCTGCAAAGTTACGCGCAGAACTTTTGTTTAAAAGTTGCGACGAATAAAAGAAAAAAGAAGAAATAATGAAAGACCACGGCTAGGAGTTACACGGAGGCTTTGAATAAATTACGAGTTTTCACGGTGTTTGTTACACTTCGTGTGCGCAAAAAACAACCAAAAAACAAAGAATATTTTGAACGGCAACTTTTTCAATTGGATTAAGATTCAATTGCTTAAGAGAATATTGAACATTTTTAAATTGCCTTGATATCGCAATCTTTCATTTAAGTTGTAATTAAGTTTTGAGAAGAGTCACACACGACAGTGGGAGTTTTTTTTCTATCTTGCCTTGACTGCAGATCAGCTTCATCTCGAAAAAAGTGTCATCAGTCAGCACATCTTGCTGAAAGTGGGTTTCGTTCAGTGATCTATACATCGCCTCTGGAAATAAACGGAGTCACGAACCCGCCAGCGAACGAAAGCGATGGTATGACGTTTAATAATTGATAATAAAGAGCGGATCGATAGCTCGAAACTGCAGTAGCAGAGCGACCGGTGAATTGTTGATGCCGCTGGGTGAGAAGGACGAGCGAAAGAGGGAGAGCTGGAATTGTCAGGAAACCCACAGCTGAATACGACGCAGAGCCAAGAATAATATCTTATTAGAAGATTTCTTCCAGAACATATTTTTTCATTTTAGTATTTAATTCGTTTGCGAGTATTGATCTTGTTTCACTGTAGCAGCTCTCGTCGTCATTTTATTATTAGCATTAATTATCTTCACGAAGATCGTTGACTTGACGATATGATTAATACAGATATATCAAGTATTATTATGAACTCATACAGCTGCGAGCGAATTGAATTGACGCATCCGACATTACGCGAGACATGGAAACCAGTTTGAAAGTTTAATGGGCAGGAGAGCGTTCATTTAGCTTGACGTGAATAAATGAAAGAAAATCCGCCTGAAGCATACACGTATATGGTCGCACGCTGCGCATACATTAAAGCATCAATAATATAATTTCGCAAACTTGATCGCGCAACTTATTTATAAACTCAGTTTTCAACAATTCGTTAGACCGCAGTACATCCTCTAAAAAACGGGTGAATTGTTAAAACTTGGAAAATGAAATCGTTTCGCAAATAAATCCTGAAAGTTGAAATACAAGCGAGCTTCTCACGGTCTCTGTGTCTTTATCCACGACTAACGAATTAAATTTCTCTTTTGAAATGCAAACTAGCGACAATGGTATGTATACCTATATGCGTAGGCACTTGTGTGGAACGTGGAACCTAGTGAAGCACAAATAAAGTGAGGATTTTCATTATAATAATGAAGCGGAGAGGAAAGTAAAAAAAGATAGCGTCTTTCCGTGTGAACGAGGGTAGCAGACAGCATACGTCGGAATGAAGAATTTGATTTGGAGCCAAGCCATTACTTGAGCGCGCGAGCGAGAGAAGCGAATATGAATTCATTCAGCCCACCAACGCGTCGCTATACGATATACCAGTCGCTACTTACTATGAAATTCCGAAAAGATTATATTCACTATCAGTTAATTAATTAGGCGGATGCTAGGTGTGATCAAAATCCTTAAAGAAATTTGGTCAGATAATGCTGTCCAAGTGTTCATGGTAAATACGATTGTTTGGCAGTATAATATTACTAGGGTCGTAACTAATGTTCGCAGTCATTGGTAAAACGTAAAAATAACTAGAGATATGATAAATTTGATATTTGTGCAATTTTCATGATATAAAATCTTGGTTGTTATTCGATGCGACAAGCGAACAATATCGTATCCCATTTGCCAAAATGCTATTTCAATAACATTGCTGTTGGTATTCCATTGGAAATTCAATGCTTGAAATAATATATAGAAGATTTACCGATGTGACTGAAAGAGTATCATTGAACTACATGCCGCCTTGAAATCTAATGAGAAACAGGACTCGACGTAATGGAGAGCTCCTGCGGTTGTGCCTTCTCTTCAGTCCTCTTCTTCGCCGGTAGCAAAAGAACATTGGTGCGGGATCCTCTTTGCGGGCGAATTTTGAGTTAATTTGCATTCTGTCCATAAATCTTTCATGAGTTTGCTGCGACAGCAAATGCTAGAAAAATCGACGACCAGAAAAAGAAGAAAAAGAAGCTCTCATCTCGCAATCTCGCATAGAACGCGAGAAAGGCTTATTTTTCATTTGACGGTGAGTGCGCGGAATGAAATGCTGTTTGCAAGGTGCCAGATTATATATGATCTGACGCGCGCTAGTCTCGAGAGGCCGGCAATATTCGCAGCTTAGAGCTCGTTTTTTGCGCTAGTATGTTTGGCACAACACACATTCCTATCTAATAACGGCCGTTACATTTGATAACGAAAACCTTTGAATGGCGAAAATCTAGCAGGATCGAACAAGATTGTTGATAATCTTGGTGGCTCAAATTCGTAATCCCGGGAGAGCGGCTGGTTGGTATTGTGCGCGAGAATGAAAAACGAGCGTTAATTGTATTTGATAAAAAGTCTGAAAGTATTTGTTTAATTAACAATTATCGGAGTCGTTGAGGTTGCTCGCGGGTGTTGATTAAATAGGAGGTCATACCACCGGCGCGTTGTTGAATTTTGTAAAGTGGATTGGTTTGAGAAATGCACGCTGTAATCCAACCGCGATACTAACGACTGAAACCACTAGGGCAGTGGTGTGAAACGTAGGATTCACAAGATCGTTTAAACGTTGTGCAGTAATATTGCTTCTATTATTTCGATCGAATAGATATTACGATTCATCAGTCAACAAGCATGCTATCAATCCGTGAAAATGGCATTTGAAAAGCACGCTCGTTAGATACCTAACGGGCTAAATAGAGAAAAGACAGATTTTATATCGCGAAAGATATTTTTCATCCATTTAAATTGCCAGCCCGGCTCGACGGCAGTTTTCATATGAAAATAACACCTTTACAGGCTTGACGCGATTCCGCGTGACGACACTTTTTATGTAGAGCCGGCTGGCATGGCTGCGTGGCTGTAGATGTAAAAAAGAATTTTAGTGAAATATGGATGCGCAGGCGGCTACGGCGTAATCCCTGACCGAGTAGCGCCTTCGTCCGACTTTTTTCCTCGTATTCTCGCGCCAAAAATCAAACTGAAAATCTCATATATTGAGAGTTCGAATACGTATACATATATTCATTAAAATATTAATAGACGTGAGTTATGTGAGCTGAGAAAGAGTGCAACTAAGATTAAGAATAATTTCGTCGCAGCTTCTGTCGCGCATTTATGTGTGAATAGACGTGAGCTAATTTTGGCGTGATAAATTCGTCAAATTGAATTTCGACTAATTCATCGGGCTTTGTACGGAATAACGGCAAGAGCAAAACACAGCGCTATCTGCGAAAACCAAATTGGATCGCGAAAAAGAAAAATCAGAAAGAAAGAGAGCGTAGGAAGAGCTGAAAGAGAGAAAGTGAGGCGTGATGGATGCGGGCAATTAGCTAGGCGATGCAATGGTTTGAGCTTGTAGCGCGTACGCTGACGCTACACACGGCACTGTCGCGCGCGCCTCAGACGTTTATCGGTTGCCTACGCAGCAGTGCGCCCGTCGCCCGTCGCCCGTCGCCCGTCGCCCGTCGCCCGTCGCCCGCCGTCCGTCGTCCGTCGCCTATCGTTGCTCGTTTCCGGCGTGATCTCACTCCGACGAGATACAACGTTGCGCCGCAGTTACCGGCAGCCGCGTTGCCGATCCACGAGAGGGGCATTCGGGGAAGTTATGCCTTGCTGATTGCGCGCCACGCGGGACGCTTACTTTTCTCGTGTCTGACTAGAGCGCAATACAAATGCAGCCTAGGTACACTCGATTAATACACCTTTCAGCTTTCCTTTTGAAAAGATCCCAAAGTAAACTTTTACGGCTGCAGCTTTGTTCAACTCTGACAACTCTGGACGCGCACAACTGTAGCAGCAGGCACGCTCACTTAGCTAAACAGAGCTGCTGCATACCATGCATAAACACAAGCACGACGCATGCATTATTATGGGCGTTCCGCTCGCCGACTAGCCAGCTAGCGCTGCGGCCAAACTCGTGCATAAACAAAACTAGCCCAGCTCGTGCAAGTATCAATTTTCAGTGTCACGGCTCTTTGCCAATTTATATACGCGCGTAAAAATTGCTCTTCTGCGACAGCAGGCAATCTATGTGTGAGAGGACAGCTTAGCTTGTAAAGTGAGCGTTGATAAGCTGCTGAGAGAAAGTCTGCTTTCCAGAGACACACCTCGAGCGAAAAATCAAAGCCGATGATGAAAAATCGCTGTAGCGTGTGATCGAGTTCTAGCCGTATAGTTATTTTGGATACTTCAAATTGTTCGGTGTGTATGCCAAATACTCCTGTACAACTTGTCGAAACAGCTTGACAAAAATGTCTTAAGGGCGAATCAATGGAACGAAAGCAACAGCAATAACGACTTCAATTAAGAAAAGCTTTCTTCAAGTATTTTAAATAAGTCCTCTCTTCGCGACCAACAAACTGGTCTTTTATTTCTCTGAACGATAATGGCCATCTCCTGTTTCTTGTTCAAGAATAGTAGAGAGAGCGAGAGAGAGAGAGAGAGAGAGAGAGAGAGAGAGATCCGTTAAAAAAGCTTACAGTAGTCGGGACATAGCAAGAAGTTCCAGGTTTCTAATTAAACGGCCAGCTAATTTGTTAAGATATTTATTTTTCTTTCTCTCTGCTGTTATTATTATAAATTTGTTTTCGTTGAACTAAACGCTTTCCCGTTTTCTGTTACAGCCACAGCAGAGGGATCTTCTTCTATGGTAAGTCTTCGATGGAATGATACAATTTATTATTTTCAATGGCTTATTGTAGAACAATTTCCTTTCGTGCCTGCAGCACTCAATTTCGTTATTCTATTTAACTTTGAATCATACAGATAGATTCAATATCATTACGCACATTGAAACATCGGCAACTGAAGCTTTTAATCAGCTCATGCATAGTCGCTCAATCTAATAAAATCTATTGAGGCTCATGTGTGTCTGTTGAGAGATAGCCACGCATGCGCGACAAGATCGTCGGCTCGGAAAATGAAAATCAGAGTAAAGCTCGCGCACGAGGCTCATTCCTCCTCCTTCTTTCTCTTTCTTGCTCTTCGTCCTCGTCGTTGCTATGGCCATAACCTTAAATCTCGACGTGTGCTCGCGAGAACGCTATAGCCTCCGCCAACGTTATATTAGGTTATATTTCAAGAGCGTATAGCGCGCAGTGAAGTGCCCTCCCCCTCCTTGCTCTGCGATAGATTTAGCGTTGGCTGCCTGTATTTTCTAAGCGTCGTCAGCACAGCACATGTGCGCGCAACTATATATGCACAGCTATAGTTTATCGCCACTGTTCAATAGTCGTTGATCGACGTGCATAGGAGAGGATTGAATCTTGTCGATGAAACGTGTCTGACCATAGCGTTGACTTTCTCTACTCGAACGGGCTTTTCTCGTTTCAATTTAGCGTTCAACATGAAATACTTTAAAACTACCTATCAATTCACTGATGCATATCCATAATCTCTGCCATCTATCGCCACAGCGCACACAACTATGAGTATAATACTCAGTTTGCATTCAACAACTATAAGTAGTCACACAAAGCTGCCAAGCCAGCGTTGAGTCGTTCGTTGGCGCTAACTTGACCAAGGCACTCGGATCATATAGCAGCGCTTTCCGTCCGGCTTAAACTGTAGGTTATATATACCAAGGAATATATATATATCGCATAGTTCTGCCAAGGCACCGGTGAGCTAAGACTTGCATACATAGACTACGTGCGAGTCCCTCTACCTGGTCGGCTAATCGCATTAGAGCGTCAGTTACGTGGAATCGTGTTTGTATCGCAGCCTGATAAGTATCCCATACACGCAAAACAGAATAAGTTTATTAAACCTTTGTTGGGCTGGATGGAAGACAATCCAGTTGATTTCATCCAGATAACTGTTCTTTTTTGGGAAATGTTAAATAGTGAAATGATAGGAAAAGAACGAGAGATAAAAAAGCGATTTAGCTTTTATTCGCATCTTTTATTTCATGGATTAGCGAATCAAAAAGCTTTCTTCTTTTTCTTATCAGCGCGTGATTGGCCATTTCAACCAAGGATAATCCGCTCGGGTTTGTTTCATTACTATATCGAGTAATAGCAGCTTAGCGATTTGTTTTTTATAAATCATAATTGTGCCTTGTTCTTTCATTCTAAGAAGACAGCTTTTTTGTTTTATCGAAAGCTTATGAAATTTTGAAGAATTCAGTAGTCTGTGTGGGAACGTGAATTTTGACTATGTTGTGATTCATATTTTCAAATTTAGGCTGTATGTACATCTCAGAACACTATCAGTATCAATTATTTGAACAGAAATACTCCAGGAGTGAAGGCCGCTTCACTCGGATCTGACAATGTCTATTCATAAGTACAGCTTTTATTAAATATGCTATTCATCTGCAATTACAAACTTTTAGATGCGGATAAGAACTGCAGTAGTACGAAAAGCTTATCGCACCAGGAAGTGTAAAAAAAATAGCAAAGCCATAAGCTTTGCATCTCTGTCGCAATAACGTTGCGACGTCTCGGTGATATATCTCGAAGGCCTGTGCGGAACAAAGGCAAGAGCAAAAGGCAAACTTGATCAAGGCATTCGTTTTTGCCATGGCTGCCAGTGGCGGCATAGCGCGGTTGCAATGAAAGATTCTAGTTTGTTCTTTGAAAGTGTGTTCCTTGAAAGCCATCACGTTGTTCCCCGAGTGCCCATTGCAAAAAGTAGCGCAACGATTTGGAGCGAATCGTCATATTTAGACTTTTATACCCCTGGCGGTAAGCTGCTGCGCACACGCCAGCCAATGACAAGCCTTAACGCAAGTTACAAATTTGATTTGTGCGCGCAGTCCGCAGTCGTCTTGGATGCTTCCGTTTTTTCTTTCATCTTGCTCACAATCGTTATTGCTAAATAAAACGGGATTCGTTCTATCTCTATGGCTTGCTCTCCGCAGGCATTTCGCACCTGGCTACTGCCACCCATGACTCGGAAAGACTACATATCCCACCCCTTTCACTTTTCATACTTTTATCGAAAAGCTGATTTGGAGACAACATTGTTTTTTAACACCTTGTAAGGGCACACAGTAGGAACGGCGATAACGTTAAGTGCATTCATCGCACAAACTCGCTTTTAGGTGAAACAACCTTGCTTTATTTTCACGCAAACAATGAATCCGGAGGAAAAAAAATATTTTTGATTTTTTTTCTTTTTCTTTTTTTTGGGGGGGGGGGGGGATTCGCGCGCACTTTTTCTCTCGTCGCATATTTGGTGTAAAATAGCGCAGCAAAGCGTTGAAGTGCTCGTTGCGGAGCAGTAGCAGCAACAGCAGAAGCAAATGAAATGGCGTGTAAAGCTTTTAGCCGGACGAGAATCGAGCGTGTCGTTGTTCGTCAAATCGTTCGACTGTAGTCGAACTTTAAAAATTTTTGTGTACACAAAATTTGATTGGCACATCCCCCAACGAATTTCAAGCAGACCTATAGATAGACACCACACTCGTCGACGGATTTACATTCGAATTGTATTGACAGTTTGGTTTAGTAATGATATTGACATGCTGTCTGGTTTGTTCTCTCTTTAACGTTTAACCATCAGATTATTGGATCGATCAGTTTGTCAGCCAATTGATTATGAACGCTCGATAAAACGATACCAATCGATTCGAATAAATAACGTCTTATTAAATAGTACAGCAGAAGGAAGCGATGGAAAATTCGTTTTCATTTAAATGTGCTTCGAGCAGACGTCTAACGATAATCCAAAAAAGACACTAAGCGCATTGTTTCCGGCCAAAAATTCTTGTTGCTGCTTGTGGCTGGCTTGGCCGTCACCACGTTGCGACTCGTAGAAGCGAAAAAATAAAGAGAGAGCTGATAATGTTTTGCCCGCAGGACATACACGCGCGAGCGACCGAGATATTCGTTAAACCTCCCTCGGGTTATTTATCTTTTTCCCCGGATGCCGTGAGCAAGTATATGCCGTAGCAAACTGATCATCCTCTCTCTCTCTCTCTCTTTTTAGCATTCAACCGAGTTTTCCTTTCTTATCAGGGCCACGGCGCGCGTTGTTTCTTGTCGTTGTGCGAACCTGCTGTATTTTGAGTGGCGTTTTATTTATCGGCGCTGAATTTTTGATTGCGCGCGCGGCCGTAGCAGATCGAAATAAAGATGAGATTGGAATTGTCTTTTAAAATAGGATTGCAGATCATTTCTTTTCTTTTTAATTCATTTCTTTTTACAATGGCTTCCATTTTTTCATCAATAGAATTAATCACTTGGCCGTTTACTTTATGATGAAAATATTGTTAAATGGATACTACTTTTCTTCAAACAGGCATTTTATAATTTTATAATTGCTTTGGTTTACACATACCTCGATAAACTATGGTTGAATGGAAATTGTTTGTCAGAATATTTCATTGATTCTGATGACTAAATGTGAAATGCACTGCAATATTTAACAATTTAAATTAATTATTGAAATTATAATTCAGTCGGAAATAGTATTTCCCTGATGGCCACTTAACAAATTTTCAAATTTATAATTCAAACATTCGTTAAATACATTTTAGTAATATGACTGTAATTAATATTTTCAAGTTCAAATGAAATAATACGACTTTAACTATATCATTTTTTTCTGATCAGAATAAGATTTTTATGAATCGGCTGCTCACGCTACATATGTCATTTTTCGAAAAATTTATGATAACTGATTTTTACTTGGAGTCGGCATTGCAGGTAGTTTCCCAACACTATTATTATGAACAAAGCGCCCAAGCGTACAGGAAAAGAAAGGGAGAGAGAGAGAGAGAGAGAGAGAGAGAGAGAGAGAGAGAGAGAGACTGAAAAAAGGCTTTTTCTAGATTCTTCACGTGCAATTTATTATTAGTCGACGTGCACGTTCAAAGAGTGCGTGTACATACAGCGAGAGAGAAAAGCAAGTGGTCCGCGTAATTAAAACGAGGCAGTTGAGCAATGCCACGCGATAAATCTTGCAAGTAGTACCGGACATTTATGCTCCTGCATGTGAATGATTTAAATCGTACATGGAAATTTCGGAAATTTTCTCTCTTTCGTCTCGGGAATAACAAAGTTAATTTTAGCTTTATACTCTCGCAGCTGAGCCAACGATCGAATTGCGGCGATATGTAAATACCACAAAAATATAGTAGTCATCGCTATCAATTCTAATAAGCTTTCATATCTCAATGGACGAATCAATTTACGATTTTCGGTTGGCTATCGTGTGCTTGCATCTCCGACATATTTACGGAAACATTCAACTATTACATCGAGAGCCACTGATGTCAGGCTCCCTAATCCGCGTCGTATTCAATCCACGAGAGCCTCGAGGGCAAAAATTCAGTAGAAGTTTCCGCACTCTCCCTCTCTCTTACCGAGGAAGTTAATGCTGGCTCTATAAAGCGCCATCTCTCGTTTCTTATTAAAAGTTTGGTCTGTTGACCGCTGCCCACGTAATTAACGTTTGACTTTTTCATTTGAGTAGCCGAAAAGTCGACTTAGACCAAAAAAAAAAACGAAACGACAATGTTCAGAACTTGGATATAGTTTTCTCCTTGACATTTACTTTGGTGCATTGACGTGTTTGTTTATATCTTATAAGTTTTGGCAAGGGATTATATCCTAAACAGAAAAGCTTCAGAGGGACTTTACTTGTGTATGGCTACGCTAGGGTATTAATTTTTGATAGAGTTCTGAAAACTGGATGAAAGAGATTTTGCAATAACGTCTTGACTTTTTCCGAATGCAAAGTTTTGATACTACGCTTTTAACGGGAAAAGCTTAGAGAAAATTCAATATTTGTCGGGAGCTTGAAATTGAAGAAGATTCAAAGTGAAGGCCAACGTCATTAAATGATATTCAAAACTGCTACAATGCTTTTTTATGAATATATGATAAAATAAAATATTTTAAAACAGAAGTGGTATATTCAATTTGACTTTTGGACTCGAGTTCAATCGAAATGTGCATAAAACCGAAAAATTTGATGTACGTTAGTCGAAAAGCTTTAGAGAGCATTCATTGGTTAGTTCAATTAATTCAATGACACCCAATATAAAGTAGCAGCTAAAAAGCATATAGCGGGGGCGAGAAATTGCTTGAAAAAAAATCCAAAAGTGGATCAGCGTCATCGCATTGGTCGACACGTAATGTCGCTTTTATTTGAGTTGATTTTTCTCTCGTTTGTTGTTTGCCGGCGAAACAGATAAAACGAGATTTACGCTATGACGAGTCGCAAAGTATTCGCGAGCGGCTTTTTCCCCGACATACATATACACAGACAAAAGGGACTGGATGTTTACGCTCGTTCGAACGGAAAGCGTGTACATACGCGAAGAAACCAGGACAAACGAACAAACGACCGGCGATTTTCGTTACTTTTATTTTGCATGACATCCATCCGTCCACTGATCGCTACACGGAAAAAATGCTCATTGTTTTTTGTTAGGTTGATGATGATCTAAGCCCCAGTTGCTCGCGGAACCGTCGCCTTTGTTGATGCTGACTTTCTCGACGAGCTCTCGACTTGGAGTCTTGAGGTCGTAGGCGAGGCCCAAGAAAGCCATTGTCTCGATGAATGCAGTGCTGGGATTTAAGCCGTAGCCCGGCAACTCGGCCGCTTTGTAGTCCCAGGGAAAGGAGTGGTGGTAGTTGTGCCAACCCTCGCCCAAAGTGAAGAACGACACAGTGCCGTTCTCCGTCGGCTTTATGTTTCTAGAGAGGAAATAAGCTGCGATTTATTCTCCGGAAATAGCGTCACAGCGGGAGATACAATAGCAAAAGTACACAACAGGCTTGTTCGAGCAAAAGATACGCATGTATTCGATATTGCGATACCTGTTGTAAGGTCGATTGCCCCACATGTGAGCGAAACTATTGACGAGGAAGGTTGCGTTGAGCAGCCAGACGTAGCGTATGATGACCGCATGGATGGCTACGTACCAAGTCTCGTTCCATCCGTACACTGGGATCAACGTTGGCATGACGAACGTCAGCGAGCACATGATCAGCTCGTAGTACCTATGTGCGTGTCGACAGATAACAGCATCCATTCGTTTTACGTGCACTTTCAATCTTTCAAAAGGCATGATTTTTCGATCTTTCATAAGCGATACTCTCGAAAGCCCGAAATTAAATGTTTGACCGCTAATCATTGGCGATTCGTAATTTTCAATATTTCGCCGGTAAATTCATTTTTATATCAATAAATCGTTCCAGTTTCAACAGGAAAGGCATGCGATGGAAACGAAAGTACAAGTCAAAACTCACTTATCGAAAAATCGTATAACAGGATCAGCCTCGATGTCGCTCATATCGATTTTACTGCCGTACATCTTGACCGCCGGGTGCCGTTTCATCATGAGCCAACCGACGTGCGAGAAAAAGAAGCCGCGATTAGCGTTGTGTGGATCGGCTGAGGTTTCCGTGTACTTGTGGTGCGTCCTGTGATCCCTTATCCACTTGTGGAAGTGTGTCTGTGAACAAAAAGTCTGGGCTTCGATTCTGGACATTCCATTTGATCGCCATGCATTGTTAGTGTGTTGCCAAGGATAAAGATCGTATATGCGTCCGTACTTTCATCCGATTGTTCGCATTCCGACAATAGTAATAATAATATCTTTGTGAACTGTAAGGTGAGCCTTGACTGCGCATGCGATTGATATCAATATTATTGATATCTTTTATCCGACAATGTGACCCATAGATTTGGTACCTTTACAAAGATATCAGCTAGTAAAAAAACATGCAAAGAAAGGAAAAAGAGCAATATCGATTTCCCTTCGATGAATACCTGAAAAAAGCAGCTCTGTTATCCCAGTAAAAAATGGCACAATTAGTAAAAGGTGTGAGAGCTCTTTTCTCGAACTCGGGACGAAAGAGTCGGGCTGTACAAGCGGAATCTAGAGCCATATATATTCTCCACGCTCGATCTCACGGCAATTACAGAGCTATCAAGCTCGACGATACACAAGTCCTTGCTCGAATTTCAGTTCTCCCTCGGCACACGTGAGATATTTGTTTCCACGAAGGTTTTCTCACCGCCGAAGCTTAGAAAACGAAATTCCACGAGAGAGAGAGAGAGAGAGAGAGAGAGAGAGAGAGAGAGAGAGAGATTCTCGATTTTCAGCTCTGTATAGTCCGGCACTCGACTACCTATTTCCGATACGATAACATTTGATTCGTCTTATTTTCTTCTTTTCTCTCATTTTTCTATCTCGTTCTACATTTTCACGCTCCCACTGTTATTCGTCTCTATACATGTATTGCCCATATATATCAGCGATGTTCACCACTCTCGTATTTCTATTTGGCGGCACGATCTACTTTATGCTTTTTTTATTTTCTTTCATTCGTCATGTGTATAGATGCTTTTTCCACATAACGGTTTGCCGAAGAACGTAGTGTATTGATGGCTTATATGCTTTCGAAATTCAATTTTTAGAGGCGTTCACCTGTCGATATAGATGCACACGTCGATAAATGTATTCTCTGCCACGGGACTTTGACATGCGACCTTGTTCATGCATATCGATGAATTCCAGCTTGTAGAGTCATCGAAGCCGTATCAAAAAATGTATTCTTTGATTTGCGAATTGCACGTGCTGTGTGCATGCTTTCCCGCTTATTTTCAAAATTGATTGAATGAATAATTTAACTGATTTGCATTTTGTAAAAATAACAAGGATTTTCGATTACGTTGTTGAAATTCAAATCAATTACAATGTCGTCGACTATTCGCCAATGTTATGATTATACGTTTTATGAAGAGAGAAATAAGCCAATATTGATGGATGGCCATCCGAAAAACTCTCGGAACAACATCTCTCGCCAACAACAATATCGAGAAAGATTGCAGCAACTGAAACGAAAGAATCTTCAAGCTCAAGTATCGCAATCAATAATAAACTCTGCTCTACTCGTCTGCTTTCTGGCCCGACCAAACGATTGCACTCGACGCCTTGGATTTTTCCCGAGGAGAAATTTGTTGGTCGTCTGCACTCTCTAGTTTCCCCGCCACCACGGAGCAGTATAGTTTTAGATAGCCATATCGTGATATTGGATTGCAGAGACGCAACCTTTTTCCCCTTCTCTCCAGAAATAAATGACCTGCGTATTTATGGCGGGTGAGAAGCTGTAATGATGTAAGGATCTGCATTGCGCGTCGCAGTGAGGAGGTGCTTTCCACTTTTATTGACTGTAATCGAAAACAATTATGTTTTAGTCAGGGATTTTTTACAACAAAATATAGATTAACGTAAAAATTGTTGATAAGGCGAAAGCCTTCACGTTAGTAAAGGTAGAAAAGTAAGTAGCTGTAACAATCTCAATGAACATATTTGTTTGAAAATTTTCAACATTTCGGAATAATTCATTTTCCAATTTCAAGGACTGAAAATACGAGTGTTTTTCGAGAGCAAACAGCATGGAATAAATATGGAAAAATCCATATTTATTCACATAAAAATACGTTGAATCATATAGAAGATACACAGGTTTTAAATGGTACATTTAAAAAATTCCATTGGAATATGTAGTGATGGATGGCATGTGTTGATGAGTTTGGGTAGCGTGTTACATGTATGTAAACTCATATGTTTTAAAGTAATAGTTTGTATACGTGTCAGCAGAAACTACATACAAGCGTTCGATATGATGCAATATTTTGTAACTACGTTAAGATTTTCTATCAACTAAAAGAGCCTATATACTCTGTATTTTGTACTGACCGTAATAAAATAGTATCTACTTATTTGTACAAGTATTTTATAGTGTAAGTGATAAGTTTATTTGTTTTCAAAAAAACCCTCGTTGATACCAAATATTTGTCGAAACATTGTAGCTTTTCAAATAAATTTGTTCACTGAGACAGTATAGTCTTTTACGTTTCTATTTTTGTACAAACTTGTAATTCGCCAGAGCTTGCGATCTCCTACTCGCTCTTTTTATCTTTTATGTAGGTCGTGAGGTTCATATTGATGGATGTTCGTTGGTGGCAATTTGATATCTTCAATGATGTTTAAGTCTTCGTCTTGGAAATGTTCGACAAATATATCAGTTATTTTAATCAAAGTAAAGGTATCGAAATGCAAGCCAAAAGTATTGATACTCGAGTATCGAGCAGCAATAACACGTAAGGCACACCGTAAAAATAAAAACAAGGCACGAAAGCTTGAGAACCTAAATCGTGGCCGCAGCGTAAAAAGAGAAAATATCTTGTTTTGAATGCCCCTCTAGAGGATAAAACAAGGTGAGAGGAAGAAAGAGATGAAGAGCTGTGGAGAGCGGAAACCGCAGAAAGAGGCTTCGTTAAGATTCGACGATCGTTAAGCAACACAACGCACGCCTTTATTGCGGATGCTGCCTGCTGCATCCATCGTTTTTCTAGAGTTGCTGTTGCTGTTTGCACGTTCGCCGGGTGAAACTGAAGAGGTAGATGCGAGGGTATATCTCAAAGACAGGCAATTGTGTTGATGTGTGCTTCGGATGTGAGGATGGAAAATTCGTTTGTTGCGACTGAAATTGCACATGGAGCTTTTGCAGTTTGATCATTCTCGTGCAGCAAAAGTGCCTGTAATTTTTATTTGTCGCAGTAAAATATGAATTTCAGTAAAATGATACTTGACGTATCCGTAGAAACGAAAGAAGCTCTCGAAAGGAAAATGTCAAACTGATCCTATTTGTTCGTTTCGTTTCTCGAAGAAAAGACCTACTCGCTTCTAGAACGAGTGTAGTGCGCAGGCTAGTAAATAAGGAGGGATAAAAAAAATAAACAAGCTCGAGCGAAACGGAAAGTGGAATAAGGCGCGGATAGCAGCAACAGCAGCAACAGCAGCAGCAGCAGCAGCAGCAGCAGCAGTAGGAAGTTGTGCGCCAACATAGTAGTTCGTGCAACTGCAGGAGTGGAATTTAATGGGGTGCGATATCCAAAGGAAAGTTGAAAAAAATGCAAATGGATGAGAAGGATAAAAGTGCATATTGTTGTTTAGCGATAAACAATGCAAGTTGTTTCGATCGCGGAAACATGCACGCGGCAAAGTCGCTGAACGAATGATGCAGATAGATAGCAGCAAGCTAAAACAGTTTTCTAATTAAAACTTGATGGCTTGGATTACATGCTAGTGAGCATGCACCGGGGGTTTAACCGAAAGTGCGCCTCACAACAGAGATTATTCAGTCGTGAGTCGATTAAAAGTTTTCTCGCGCATAAATTATAACTGTAACTTGTTGGTGATGTTCTTGTGAAATTGGTTCAAGTACTACTGCTACTGCGAACCCTTGTCTCGGCCGCTCAGATAACCTACGATAATGGTCTCGATAGGCGCGAGAACGAATTAAATGGCGTGTCCGTTGGGAGAGAAGAGAGCTAAAGAATTGTCGCCCGGAGCAGTATAATACAAAGCAAATTTGACAGAACAAAGAGACGAGAGAGAGACCGAAGAGCGCGCGCTGTCGTTGACGATTAATCGAGGCTTATATCGTTAATGCCGTTTGTATATTGCCGCCATAGGTGGGAACTGCCGCTTGGAACCTATTCCCTGCGATTATTATGTAAGCAAATCGTTGATTGCAGGCGAACTTTCAACCCTTTGAGCACGTCGGATTTATCGGAGCCTCTTTCGGGGAGCAGCGAAAAAGCAGCCTTGTCTAATGCCAAACAGCCGTTTGTTACCGCAGCCCCGATGGAATCAAGCGTTCGATAAATAACCGACGGGGAAAAACGCGGTCGCAGGTCGTGCTGGGACAAAGGGGCCGACGTCGGCGAATCGCCCGCAAAACGAAGCAACGGGAACGGAAAAGAGCTGGCTTGCTTGCGAGTGTCGCAGAGCTTAGGCTCGTTAGGCGCGCTCGCCTACAGCGCTCTACTCGGTTCACGGGCAACTGGGCTAATGGACTATTTTGAGCCTTTTACCGCGAAACACGGCCAAACACGGATCTTTCATTCCTCGGAACAAGAGGGCTCGTCAACCGTTAATGGACAAACAATTATACACGGAAAATCATTGCATTCGCTATCAGGGCACATAACTCGACAACTACACCTTGCCTCTTCCGCGAAAGACCTTCCAAGTTCAGCACTAACAAAGTACGCTCGAAATAATGCCGTTGATTGAAGAATCGTTCATAAAAATCTCGCTTTTTCCAGGCTCTCTTCCGTGAATATCCTTTAACGTGAAAATAATGAAACTCTTCTTACCATGCCGGCCATACAGAACAAAACAGCCAAGAATATTCGAAGCGGTAGTTTGGCCGCGTAACTGCGATGTGCCCATAAACGATGAGCTCCAGCCGTAATGCCAAGCCCGGCAGTTAGTCCCCAAATAATAGCTGCGAACATTGAAAAACGACAACTAATCTTTGTATTATTCCTTCGTAAGTTGGAGTTCACGGTAAGTTGGTTGTTACTATTTGTTTTAATAAAAAGCTGCTTGATAACTAGGTAAGAGTCTTGTCTCCTTAATTATCGTGGTGTTTTCCCACCGCCATGAAAAACTCATAATCAGCAAATTATTTCCACGCAAGCAAGTGTAGCTCGTACCACCTCTTTATACTAGGGTTTTTTCTTTTTCTTTTCTTCTAGCGACTCATCAAAACCTCTCGACTCTTACAGCTTCTTTATTAAAGTTTACCCAATGCCCTCTCGACGCCTATCGAGGGTTCACTCGGCAAGGTAAAAATAGGCAGAAACTTTTAGCTTCGTTTTCAACGCGATGAACTGACGAGTGGCTCTTCAGCAGGCCGAAAGGTATAGGTCAGCATTTATAAGTCTTGATTTATCAAAAAGACTGCTATCATTTAGGTGAAATGACGATTGACTGCGCAGCTCTGTGGCTCTGGTTTACTGTACTGTGCCATGCATGTTAAAACGATCACAGACAAAAGAGAAGCTCGTCACGAGAGTTGTGCTTTTTCAGGAAATGGAATGTTCAAGACGTAAGACAAAGATCCAGAACATCGTGCATGCGTATGGTTGACTTGTCGTCGTTGGTCACTACATCGAACGAGCAGGTGCTCTTGTGCAAGCTGTACTCTACTGGTGTTACATGTCGAAGCGATCCACGATGGAAGGAGACGAGTTTACATAGCAGGAGAGGCAGAGAGACGCTCTCGATATCTACTTGACTGAATAGCGTGCGTGACGAGATGCGCTATACTGGGCTCACCCATCCTGTATAAAGACGAACCGACAAGGACAACTGTAACTTGTCTGTTTATCTGTAGAAAAGTAAGGGTCATTCAGCCGTGAAAACAGACCGATCGGTTCTTACAAGCTTCTTATAAGCTTCGCAATTAAGTGAAGGGCATCCATTAATTTGATAAGCTAGAATTGGGTATTGGATATTCGGTGTTGGGGAGAAAGGAAAAAGCGCCATTCATTCTATTTGTCACAGTTATGTGGCACAGACAGAGACAGAGAAAGCAAGAGACGAATGGAGAGAGAAAAGTACTGATCTCGCATGTAGCATAGCGAGAGGCACGTTCCTTGGTGTGAGCGTTGTTGCGCGCCTGAAAAGATTTCTCGTGCGTCTGCAGCACCTTTTTTGCTCCTTCGCGCTCATTTTCTTGCTTCTTCTTGTTTACGTTGACCAGCGTCGCCGTCGTTGTCTTGTGGCGTTGGTCCAGTAGTCCCTTTACGGACAGCAACATCGGCGGCGGCGGCGGCGGCGGCGGCGGCGGCGGCGGCCTGGAGCCGTGCCAGTGCCCGGCTACGTGACATGAATATGTACTTCTCGTGGTAATTAAAGAGGCATCCCTCGGTCCGACGGTTGCAATGGAATCGATTTCCGATAATCATTTGAAACTCGAATGCCACTCGTCGCCAATCAAAACGCAGACCGCTTGCTTGCTTGAGACCTTTTTTGTTTTGTTATTCGATCTCGCTGGAGAAAAAGGCCGAATAATAGCGTTGACGAGTTGAGATTATCGGCAGATCACGTCGATATAACTTTGTTCGTTGATTATTTTTGAGAGCACACGCCACGTTGATTCGGGAGTGCGGCTAATGAACGGAATCGATTGCGAAGCATGTCGTCAACACTCGAACGCTTTTTATTATTTTTAGTTAGATTGTGTTTTATTGCTTCCGATCGACGTGGAAAATAAGTTGGTTCGTTAATAATACCTTGAATCGTTAGGCATTTCTAAGGATTGTTCGATTTTGGAATCGCAGGCGGTGTGTGCAACAGGCTGGAAGAGCTACTCACTAAAGATCCAAGTGTTGAGCTTTCCTTGATCGTAATAGAGAATGAAGTTGGAGACGGCAAGGACATGTAAAACTGCTAGTCCTAAAATGTTCCTCCAAATGAAGGGCTGTTCTCCGTCCTCGTGACACGGTAAAGCAGACGGCATGTCATCTTCCTCAAAATCATTGTCGCTCGCTTGCTCCACTTGCGTTATCGTTGAACTATACATTCTGGTCTCTGCAGCAAACGAATGAAAAAAATTAAAAAATCGTTGATTATTATTATTGCGAGCGGGGCAACCAGTGAGTCGATCAGGGCTTCAATGAAAAATGTGGATAGATAAATTTTTCATCGGCGCTATTCGACGTCTATTCGAAGCATCGCTTGAGGGTAAAGCTAACCCAAACGCCGCGTGAGCGAGTAGCTCCCCGAGGAGGAGATTCCCATAAAAGCAGCTTTCATATCGAAGCCATCCCTATAATTCGAGACACGCGTGAATTTCACAATTAAATGCGGCTCGTGCGCGTTGGCACGCTTGAGATACTCGCAAGCTTATATGCAGGGCAGAGACGAGCTTGCCTTACAAGATCGTCACGTGCCGAGCTATATGGCTTTTAATTACAAGCATAGTTGCGCTGAGCTGCCGAGAAACTGACGTAACTCATAAGGTACGTAGCTGCTTTGGCGCCATGGCAAGTCGCGAGTAAGTACTCGTAGTTGCTAGCTTTGCTATCGTTTACGTACGTGTAATGAACTACGGTCATTAGTCGTCAATCGAAATAAACTGAATAAACTGCTCGCGCCGTAGCGACGATTCGATTGCCTCGAGGGCATGTCGCATACAAGGCAAATAGCCAATATCTAAGAGCGAAAGCTGCACTAAAACTCCATCTAAGAAAAGCCAATAACGCCGTTGTCGGAAGCATCTTGTAAATCATCGCGCATTAACAAATCCCGGCCGCTTAATTTACGATCGCTGTACCACTTACCATATGGCATACGTAACGTGCACTGCAGCCGCGAAACCAAAGCCACGTGGCAATGCGCTTCTCTTGCTCCCGTACGCTGTCGGAAAACATATTTATATATTCCAAGCCATAAATCGGTAGGGCTGACCCGCCATAGCACAAGGAATAGCGAGAAAATTGACGCGAGATGAATAACGCTGTGCGATACGATGCTGCCGTGCTTGTCGAACAAACCTTGATCGTTTCGTTAGTTGAGACTAGCGAGGATGGATTTCGCGATCGTGATGAGTTTTAGCGAGAAGGCAATTCGCAATCGCGCTACTCATTTTATTTAGGCCATCTTCTCCTTTGCACGCTGGATAATGGAGCCTTGATTAGCTTCACAACTTGCGCTAGAACGGGAGAGTAAGCTACTCCAAACTAAAAAGAGAAATACCAGATAGAAGTAAGCATTGGAATAACAAGCGAATCGTATAAGTCTATAGTAAAGCCTGAGCGAGCGTATTCGCCGTGCGTAAAAGTAGGCCGCAGAGAAAGAGAGCGATAAAGAATAGAACGTTTACGATCGCAAGCGAGCGAGCACGAGAAAAGTGCAGCATTTTCTCCGCGATGAATTGCAAAATACGAGAGATAAGTATACGCGCGGCGGCCCGAAAAACAGTAAGAAATTCAAATGGCTTTTATCATGCGAGCCGAAAATTCCATATCGCATCCACACTTCATCTTCCAAAAGTACAAGACGTACACATGTGCAAGATGCAACTTTATAAATTCCAATTGATTAAGTTTTATGCTTCATCATCTAGCGTCAAGCTATTTCTCTAGACTAGACGTGTGCGCCTAGGCTTTTTCAGGCTTTTTCAGGCTTTTTCAGGCTTTTTCAGGATTTCAAGTTCCAATTTGATGGGCTTGTCGTGGACTAAGTTGAGTGTCGAGTGTCGAGTGTCGAGTGTACAGTAACGTAACTCAACTCGATACATTTCACTCGTTGCTTTTTTCTCGACTTTGGTCCCCAGTTCTTCTTGACCGTTTCGCGGCGATACTGGACTTTCTGAAACTCGCTCTCAACCGAGTATTGCAACTGCAATATTAAGCTTCATTATAGCACTCTAATTCCCAACAAATTCACATCGTTTTCCCATAGTCTTTCGCCGTGTAAACGGAAATCAACAACGATCAACGTTCAATTTCCCTGATAGCTTTCCAAGCGCAAATCGTGTCAAATACATTACAGGGTTTGAGATAAAAAAAATCCTATGTCCAACTAACAATGTTAACACTTTCGTTTTTGGGATAATAGCTGCCTTGCCATTATCCAATTCTCTGTCCTGGCAGCAATGAAATTGTTCATTGCATGCAGATTATAACGTCGCGATCGGAAAGAAATATACACGAGAGCGTCCGGCATGACAAGTAGTAATTATTAGAAAGCGCGAGTAAAGCAATCCTCTACATTGTCGTAATTTTGGGAATTTAGCAAACGATAATTCAACGAGGGAGAAAAGTAAAAACCAAGAAACGTTCACACTTAATTATTACTCTGTGGTTCTTTGACGCTTTTATTATGAAATTATAACATTTACATGAAATTATGTTCGTATGATACACCTTGTTTTCTTCTATACTTTAAGACAGAAGCTCCACGGCTAGCCTTAATTTTACCAACAGCAGTCGAAAAATCTACCTCGACAACAGACAAACAAATATTTCCCAGAGTAGACTTTGTCAATTCAATTGTAATTTCACAATGATAGATTGTAGAGATAGATTGTACACACTCGTAAGAAACAGTCAAAGTGTCTTCAATATCATTCGCTGTTGCGACTCTCTCTCTCTCTCTCTCTCTCTCTCTCTCTCTCGCACATAAATCAAGTCTGCATAGTTATGCGTAGACGAGTATACTCTTTCTTACGTATATTGCCACGTGTACATTGTATTCGGCCAGAGCAGAGCACTTAGAGTCTCTGCAGAAAGTGGCGTAATTGTGATTTACAATTGTACCGCCAATCATACGTGAATCATAAAATATTTGCTTTTGTGACTTGCACACACTAAGTCTCATTACATTTTGGCATTTTATTACATCTGCTTGGGAATCTGATTTAGCGTTACTAATTTTGTTACAATGCGCTTCTATCAAATTCGTATCGGTCAAATTTAATATCTCTTTTGTAAACGTCCCAACAATTTTTAGATGTGAATGACGAGACTTTTAATATCTATAGTAGAACTACAATTTTCCGGTTATTTCTATTCTTTGCGCGCATCGTTTCGCGTAAAGCCAACGTAAGTTGTTGAAGAATGTGGAGCGTTTCGTAGTAAGTTACTAACAGTACTACTAGAACTTTTATTCGTTGAAAATCAGATTTTCAGCAATTTCATTTTGGAAATACTTGATTTGAATTGAAATTTTCAATAGAGGCGACGAATGAATATGCTTCTTAGGAAATGTAAATAAATCATATTTGCACATGGAAGCACAGATGAAAATATCGATCATACATTACAAAATCGTTGCATAAAATGTGGTATAGCAGTTGGAAAACAATAGGATAGTAAATGAGTAGATGCTTTATGCCTAAATAGCAGTGAGTCTTAACTATGTAAAACTTACAAAAATTTATACCTAGGTTTTTCGGATCATTATTATAGATATAGATATTTCGCCGCATTTAAATTTCTAGTTATTAGCTGATATCACTTCATGTAATAAGTATCATTAAATAAACCATTTCTGCTTATATTATGTATTCTATCAAGTCATTAAAATTCAGTGCTAACTTGAGAAGTGAAGGAGTTTCATTCGATTTGATCTAATGAAGATTAATTCTCCGTGGAAACTATTAAACTTTTTCTTTCACGAACAAGTTGGAAGTTTTAGCTTCTTTAGCAAGATAGCTTGCAGTCTATTATACTCGTTTCACTAATTAAATATTCCAAGCATCTGAAAATATGAAAGGTTTGCGGCATAAAAAACGTTGGAACGCATTTATCTAAACTTACGACGACAAGCCTACTCGAAATATTAGGCGTTAATTTACCGCAGCAATAGCTCAACCACGAATCTCTCGAGGCATAGCTTCCCAAAATCTCAAAACTTTTCCAATTTCGCTCAGACTCACGCTAACGACCTTGAGGCATCAAGTAACAACGAACACACAGATCATTGACTTGACGATTTGCGCTTTATTTCTCTATTAACGTAACGTGCAGCAGTGATTGATAGCCGTTAGTTGATGGTTCAAGGAGCGTTGCACCCACAAACTGATGCTCCAAATCAATCAGTTTGAGTCATAGATATGACAGTGGCTACTGTTAGGGCTGCTATATCTAACACAGCAACGTTAACAATATATTTGCTTCTATATTTCTACGCTAGGGAGAAAGTTTGTTTCATGAATTCTAGTCTCAAATTCTTTTGCATACTATATCGTATTCTAACAATTCCTAGGAAGCTATTTGGTAATTAAAAAGTCTTACGAACTACATGATACTTTACCATATTTAAGCTATCTATACCACACGACGGACATCTATTGTATATATAAGGACGTTCACTCAATACATACGATCCGCATCGATCTACGGCCACGTAGTAACAGCAACAGCAGAAGTAAGAACGCAACTAGAATATAACGGCGAGAGAGGGCTAAAAGCTCGAGCGCTTAGCACCGAGTAAAAAGCTTCAGTTTTGCCTAGTCACCGGGAGCTGGAGAGTTATATGCAAAACTCTCTGTTTAAACAATAGCAGCTAGTCCTCTCATATGCCGTTACTATTGAATCTTGGTTGTTTTTGCTCAACGCTATATTGTCCATTGGGTTTTGTGGTTAATAACCAGTTTTACATAAGGTACTAAAGAATTGTTCCAATGTGATGAGAGTATATGTATAATTTAGTACAACGATCATCACACTTTGGCTGCTATCGAGGTCACATTATTATTTGTAAAAATAGGGCGCTGGTACAGATTAGAGCAAGAAGCGATCGGTTAGTAGATCGATGTTCGCCCGATAAGCCGAATCCCACGTCCCAAAATTACAAGGATGGATGCTCTGTGCGCAGTGGCGGTGGGTGGTTGAATATTATACCGGCTGATTGCAACTGCTTGCCATCGTACGCTCACGAAATTGCAACGCTTGCGGCCGTGTTTTCCGATTGATATTGCGTGCTTGCTGCTCTATCGCTTCCGTGCGGCAGAAGCAGGGATGATGATAATGAGAATTTCAAAGTTGCTCTGCTTCAGTCTTAACGAGATTTGCGATTCCAAATGCGGCTAAATCATTGAGTCGTCTCTGGCAAAGAACATCAATACTAGTCATTTAGTAAGCTCTAGAAAAGAATGAACATTGAACTGCGAAAATAAATACAACAAGACAGCAGCGATAACAGTGTTTTCACAGAAAGTAGTAAAATCTGCAAACTAAATCACTCGGAGCCAGTGACTCGGAAAGATTAGGAAACAAAAGCCCAGCTCTCGCCTCCATGAATGGCACTTTTGGTGCTCTGCATATAATACAGCAGCGGGCAGAACGACGAGAGAGAAAGAAGCCGAAAGAAGCAATTAGTTCGGAGTTGGCCGCGAGTAATTTGGCAAAGCAGTACAAAGCAACAAGACCTAGCTTCGGGCTTCGTTGCTACCCCGCGTGAAATAACGTGGACGTTAAGGTAACAAAGCGAGGCCACCATTCGCTTAATCGACCGAGAAAGGCAACAACCCATTCGTCGGTAATGAGCTTCTGTTACAATATTGCATACTTTTATTGGATGCCGTTTTTCTTATGTGCCATTTCGCTACATATTTTTATGATTTATTACAAAGAATTTTTTTTATTTCTCTTGCGTACTTCACAACAAAACTACAGATAATTTTCATTACTCTCTCTGTATTCGCATGTATTTATAATACCAACATACTTTCACAAAATAAATGGATAACGCAGCGTCAATTCGAACACACACACACAGGCCGAAACTGCCTTGAACTCATCGCAGGTGCAGATGCTGAACCAATCTGCTGCATATCATTATCTGAATTAACAGACGCCCACACTTGCACTTTGCAATTTGAAATAATGATCTCCTGAGAAAATGCACGCACGCACACACATCGTACAAGCCCAAGACCGTAAAAATGTCGCACGTCTGACCGCGAAATCGAGATGAGCCGAGCGTGTTAACGAAAGGAACTTACTTTCACTGTGTTCTTCGTCGTAAAGGCTCCGCTTGTGTGTTTGCGAATAACGGAAAATGGATGTTACTCAAGCACGTTTACGATGCTTTTTTGCAATGTGCCAATTTCTTTTGTGGTCGTATTTCGATTTTCATTTTGTTAGTTCACTTTCGGGATATGCGTTCTGATACTTTTTCGCTGAGAACATTTTTCTTTGAAAGCTGTTGATAATTGTAGTGTATACGTCGATGTTTTCTTTATGTTCTTGTGTTGCAAGACGACTATTATGCCTACGAAATTCTTAGCTCGAATAACATTTGCGAATGTATAATTTGTTCTTGGAAAAATATTGCTCATACTTTATTCTTTGAAAGTTAGACAGAACAAAGAAAAAATACTGAAATCTTTGGTTAACGCATCGATCACCATTTTAAAAGCTTCTATTATTTTTATAAAGCTTGGATTTGTCAACTATTATTTTCTTTAAAACCTATTTCAAACATTAGCTTGGACACAAAGGCTCTGCAATAAAACACATCGAGAAAATCTTTAGAATAGCGACAATCTATAAACTAAATTTCCACTTTGCACGAATAACACATCGGATGAACGAAGCCTCATAAAAAACAGTTCGGCATTAAAGTGCAATAATAAGTATGATGAAGATCATTTACCTGTTTGTCGAAAACTTGTCGGGTACTTAATGATGATTACCACAAACACACAATGTACAAAACAAAGTTTCGTCACACAGAGTCAGTCCAAATCTCGCGAAAATCCGCAGCAGCTCACTCGAGATTTTCACTCGTCAGCGGCGCCCGGCTAATATATAGACTCTGTGTGGCCTCCCCTTCCCAGGTGAAACTAACACTCACCGTATATATGTGTCTTCGACATTTTTTCCAGCTACCCGGATCAGTTGCACGTATAGAAGAGCCTGTCATAATTATTCTTGCATAAATAATTCAGGATGCAGCTTTCAATTGGTAATTGTTTTAATTGACAACTGAATGGCGTTACAAAATGAATATTTACAAGAGTATATTAAAAAATGCCATGCTACAATTTAATTATCTTTGTAATATTATAGATATAGGTTGATAATAATCATGTGAGCAATTATATTTTACACAATGTTCAATAAGAACAAATAGAGAAAGTAAGTAAGTAAGTTACGATGATATTGATGTAGCTAAATAAATAATGAAGAATGCGCTCGTTCTACATGATCTTTCCAGATAGTTCTCAAATAGCAATGCCGTTGAAATTTACATTTACAAGTTGGCGATGGCACGTATAGCCTTCATCTCATAACTTTCTTCGACTTTTAGTGCAGCACTCGACTTTTCGACTTTCGATAATGCTTTTCACAAACTTCCTCGGTAATCGTAATTGATTAAGATTGACAATATTTGCGTAACCTTTTGTGCGAAATCGTTCATTCGATCGTTCGATATAAGGTAATTTTTCGTAACGATCTCTCTTAAAATTCGTATTAATGGTAGTAATTTATTTCACAAAAGTGTCTCTGAGTTTTGAAGCATGACAAACCTACAGTAACGCAAATCACTGGCTATAAAGTGTAATTATTCTTAAAAACCACGGCAATTATTCACTTTTAGCGTGTACTTGAGAACGAGACTAAAGCATACTCAGCTTTGCTCGTACGACTGATTGAACAAAATATAATTTCTTGCTGTCATGGATACCGATAGACACTTACTACGCTTTGTTCAGTCTTCAACATTCTATAGATTTTGAACGAAGCCGCTGCTACCAAATGCATACTCATTTTATTATTAAATATTCGCTTTATACTGTAGATAAAATATTTCTTCTCCAGTTCGTTGTACCACGTAGATCAGACTGAATATTTTCAAGTATCGTCAGCCATAACTTTCTTTGCAATGTGAATTTTGAATAAACAGATTTTTCGTCATGTTCACACGAAAGTGTCATTACATAGGTAGCTTCCAGTAAATGAAAAATGGAACTTGAATAATCAAAGAAATGCAGAATGAGATGTACACATGCATTTTAGTTGACTTGTATATTTTGGTAGACTTTGAGTGGCAGAACTAAGAATAAATTGCAAGCTAATTCGCAAACATTTGTAAAACGATGAAAGACATAAGCTAAGCAGCCGTCGACAGCTGAACAGATATACAGGAGCAAGGTGAGACAACATGCCTATATTTTAACATATACTTGTAAGGTTTTGTCTGCCGTCACGTGAGCCTGTAAACTGTTGACGCATAATGTACCATGCTGCGAGCATCAAGTACAACGAATAAACTACCACAATAGCAAATGTCGAGTTTTCGTCGTTGGTTTGGCAGGCTTGATATCACGACTACGAGGGAATTCATACAAAATACACGATGACTCGAATGAGATAGGGCAAACGAAGCGGAACGGGTGTATGCGAAATTCAAATGAGCTAGTTTTGCGTTATAGACGAATGTCGTTCGCGTTGTACACGTGACTTTGTTGAACACATTGACTTTTTTAGCACGAAAAACAGGGATTTTCTGTGGTTTCACGACGAGAGCTTACCTGTCCAACTGCTGTGTGTGACAGGCTATGCGGCTAACGTTGCTCACGTCGACTTTTACTGGCGTACTTTTTGACGGGGGCTGACGTTTCATGATTAGCTGGCCTAGTGCGCGAGAATAAGTAATTCCTGTGAAAGGGGTGAGGTGAGCAGGAAATAATGGTATATATTTTCTTACTTTTCTTTATTTCTTCGGTTTACAAGTGTTGACCTACGAGAGCAAGAATGCACGACTTGTGCGCTTGCTGGCTGAACCAACAGTGGAGAAACTGTCATTCTCTGCCCCGCACGGCGGAATCCTTCCGTTAGAGGCGCTACAGGGCTTCTGCAGGCAAAGTCGGGGAAACTAACAGATGATAAGATCTGCCAGCAGTCACACACGTCGCTCAATCTTTTACATTATTTACTACACTAAATTTTGCTCTAATACCCTGTCAGACATGTGTCGCGCATATGGTTGTCACTTGGGTCGCAGCACGCTTGCCGAACGAAAGATTTTCGAAAAACAAAACCGCGAAAACCTACGCCTACTACCCGCAGTCCGGACGCGAGTTTCTTCGTCTGCCCCCTCCATTCGGTTTTTTGCCCTCACTCTCGCTTATCCGCTCCCTTGTCTGCTTGCCTGCCGGTCTAAGGTAACATGTGATTACCCTTCCCGTATTTATACAACTCACCTAACGCTGATTCTGCTCAAATCTACAGTCTCCAGGAGGTAACTCCTCAGAGCTGATGGGGGCATCACGGCCACGAGTACGCTTTCAAAGCGCTCGCGCACGTCCATGAGCAAGACAAGGAGCGGCAAAAAGACGAGGCACGTGCATCCAAGTATCACGATTACTTAATTTCAACAACCGCGCACGAACTCGAGAACGGCTTACGGCGCAGGGCTTCGAAACCAGAGAAAAATGTGATGGGACACGTCTGTGTCACACGTGGCTCGCACTTGTCTTTTTTAATGAGAAGGCCCAGCGTTCATTTTCGTTATCGCTACTGGGATCGCTCGAACTCTCGCCCCTTACAACCTTCACGCGCTGGTCAAATTTTATTGCGTTTCCCAAAATTTGTCGCCTACACACCTCGAGTACACTTTGAGGGTCTTACTCTCGGCGTTTCTTACATTCCGTGACGCGTGGCTCCACTCGTGCATTATTAACGTCATAAAATCTATATATTGTGCGTCTGCTACAATTGAATAACGATTGATTGAGCGCTGTCGATCGATTAAAGTTTGAGTTGTGAAAATCAGCAATGACTGCTAAGTTGATCGCAAAGGTGAAGCAAGTTGACTGAGTAATTTCGAGCAGCAGCGACGATCTTGTGGTCCTAATGCGGTCTAAGTGTTTTTGGATAGTATAGCAAGTGGAAAAGAAATCCGAAAAAAGAGAATCGTGGCAGCTGTTCGGTTTGCTTAGCAGAGAGCAAAGTGATGTGTCGACTAGTGATGAGGCGTGAAAGGCCAAAGACTACGTATTTCCGTGCATGTAAGAAAGGAAAATGTGGTCTCTCGGTAAAAGTTTGTCGTCGATTTCGCAGGTGTCGCCGCGAAAGCGCGACAAACGAGCGTGCGAAATGTGCGCGCCCGTTACTCAAGAAGTCGTCTAGCGCTTGTTAATGAGCCGTGCGGCACCATGCTCTCCTGCGACTACGAGAGCATCTGATGCGACTTGTTTGTATCCGGATGTGTGACTTTTACTGTTTTCCGCGAGCACCGCTGTCGTTCACCGTCGTTGCCTCTACGCGCATCTCTCTAATCGCGTTTTCGACACATCGCTTTACGATGCGAAGCTGATTACCGCGACGCAGGCTCGTGAAACCAAGGAAAAAAGCGAAGCGTGCTGTGTGCATAGGAATTTACGTGCCATTAAATCCATCGGCTAGGCTCGATCTTCATCGAGCGAGTTGCTTTATGGATAGCCGCTGGAGCGAGATGATCGGTTGGAAGGCTGCGGCTTCCACGCGGACCGATCGATCTGAGCGAATTCCTGGACTGTGCTGCTGCTCGAGAAGGCTTGGCTTTTACTAGTGATCGTTTGTTAAGGCGGTCGTTGCTTCGAGCAAACAATACAGCGCCAGCACCCGTCGCCTTATTATTTCCTTTACCACTTTGCTCTTCTGAGCAGGACAACGCAATGACTAACGCGCACCTCGCCGATTCTCATTGGTTTGTCTATCATTTTCATTTTTTTTTTCTTTTTTCTCACTGTTGTCGAGTCGCTTCCTTTACGAAATACAGCAGCGAGGCTTATACTTTTCCACTTTTCCTGCCGGATTCCCTTTCAATGGCTCGTTACAAGTTTGCCGCGGTACCATTCTTTTGTCTCGAACGAATCGCGCTATTATTTGAAAACCTGCGCACAGTTGTCAACTGCCAAGCAAAGAGAATAAAAATTGATAAATGTTGAAGTTCAGCGAATATTTAGCTTTCGAATGGACATGCACATGCGAAGTTGCACAAGATTAAGTAAGACAGTAGTTGTCCTGAAGACCATTACATTCCCCGTTAATAACTTTTTTACGGCGGTTACAGCAGCGCCATTGAGAAATTGCCTATGCTCAATGGATGACTTATTATGGCATGCAAAGTTAATTTACGCTCGATCAGCAAGTCTAATGACGAGTAATTAAACGGATACTTTTTCACTCATAGAAATAGTTCGCAAATTGCAAATGAATCGTAACCATCGGAAATTCAATCAGGTAGTTTGCAGGCTCTAGTTGGTATCGGCTTCGCTTTCCTTTTTTCCTTTTTTCCAGTATCCCCAAGCGATTATCTAATGATGGCCTCGAAAAACCACCCACAGACCCGACAGCACTGTATCCTCTCCTCCCTTCATCGTGAATAGCGAGAAAGATAGCACTAAGACAATTATAGCGATCACTTGCTTGTCTTTCTTTGCTTTGACCAGTGTAACTTTGGTATACTGGTAGACCGACCTCGACAAATATTGAATTTTAGAAAGTGAGTTTGAATTTCGTTCTAAAACTCCGATAAAATCGTAAAACTTTGGGCTACACACGAATGAAAAAGATCCTTCTGTAACAATATCAAGTAGGTTCATCACAACGAGCACGACGAAAAGGAAAAATATATGATTCATCGAACGAGTCATACACTTTTCATTATTTTTCGTATAAAAAAGACGAGCTCACAGAGCGAACGCAAACGAACGAAAGATCAAGCTCGGACAAGCAGTTCTGTAGTAACAAAACTCTCACTCATTTTGTTGATCTAGGGT